CTGAGTCGGCACTTTTAGCAACGCCAAAGGGAGACGTGTCCACAGACCAGTCTGTTCTCGGGATCAACACACACACACACACACACACACACACACACACACACACACACTCCTTCAGACAGGAGAGAGGTTCTTCCTTGCTCACTTAGGCAGTTTAGACACTCTAATTTGTTAACACAGGCTCCAAAATGGTTTATTTCTTCCTTAAAGTTGAACAAATGTGTATTTTTTTCCAAAGTCAATGAGTTATCATGTTAAATAATCATGATAACAATGTTTACCCAAATAATCTGACTGAGTAAAATAAAGCAGACTGAGTTATTCATTTATTTCATGATACAATGTCAGTTAATTCACTTACTTGCATATGTCTTTTTAATACCAGGTTTAAAATTTGATGTTTTTGATGTTGGGTAAGTTTGATCATGCTGAATGTGGTGGACTTGAACTACAAGAAGTGGCTTGTCTTATTCACTGTGGTGTGGCATTGCACTGTAACCATATCCTCACATGGTTCACCTCAGTAACTCATCCTCAACACCCAGCTTGTTTACTCTCGCAGCTCTTTGCATGACTCACTTGCATATCCACTGCCTGTTGATGTTTGGTAATTGTCACAAACCTTTGTCACGCACACCAAGATATTCTTCTTATGACTGATAAGTAACAAATGTTCAATTGCTGAGGTTATTCATTCACAGATAGATCGAGGGATGTTAGAACATGAAGAGAGAATGATAACCGTGCAATTTTCAGTATTGTGTTTTCTCAAGGTGTAAAAAGAGCTACAGTGAGTTTCACCCCTGTTCCTAGTTTCCCGTTCCCACAGACAACGCATCTTTATGTTTCCTCTCCACGTGTCTCAGTCTCGCTGTGACAGCCCTCTCAGCTACCTTTATGACCAGAGAGAGTAATGCCACGTTCTATTACACCTCTAGCCAGCTACCCATTGTTAACAAAAACAGTATAATAACAAATTACACAGATACTAACACCACCAGGAATGATCCACCCACAGAAACCTTTGTTTCTCTGGGATGGGAGGAAACATTGAAGGACCCTTTTAAAATGGGATGGTCCCCCCGAATTTAGACTTCGCTGGAGACTGTACATAAAGTTAACATGACAGCTCAGACAGTCTTGAACACCCCCTTCTGGCTGGCTACGGTATAGGTCATAAACCCTGCCTCCTGAAATAAACCACTTTTGAGGTGTGTTCTGCAGATAATGAAAACTGCATTCCTCTTACAAGGTTTCAAGAGAAGTGGGAATATCATAATGATATAAATTAAATAATGGTTCGTATCACCCAAGTGTGTCATTTAAAAGTGCATGAATAATAAAAGGTTGTTCAGAATGAAAAACAGACTTTTATTTTATTTATTATGTGTTCAAGAATTATCTCTGGTCAGTCAAACAAAATGAGATGTTTACAGAAATGTTCTCTTACAGAGGAAGAACTCCCTTTGTAAGGGTTGAACTGTAATGCCCTTATTTAAGGATGTGATTGTATAAAAAGTGTTTGTGGGAAGTGTAGTAGCCTGTTGTCACTGTGATGATACATGATCTTAAACCTGTTTGARATGGTGCATCCCAGCGACGCAGACATCTGATGATCTGTTGACTCTGTCTGCAGGATCGACCAGGACATGCACGGCAAAGTGGAGATTGCTGCTGCTGCTGTTCCAGAYTGACCCCCCTGTTGACACTTCGAGAGRGATGAAAAATGTTTGGTTCCACAGCCACTCTTAGGTTTTTGTTCTGGTCGACATGACTGGAGACTTAAATCCGAACGTCAGGAAAGTGCCTTTTTGAAACTGTGCTGCCTGTTACATGTGGAACTTATTGCTGAATTTCTGTGTCAAGCAGCTTGGTCTTCAGCATTTTCCCCACATGCTGTCTGAAATGGTTTTAATCCTTTTTACTTCCTGCCGGAGAATCATGTCCAACTTAGTGTATTAGTGTTCCCTAGTTACTGTTGTATCTACACTTTATTTAAGGCACTCTTGTTACAAATGGTTGATGCATGCTCTGCTTTATTACATTTAAATATATATTATACGTTTCTTTTATGGGGAGGACTACACATAGCATTTCAGACACCACAATATATTTATATTCAAAAGGTGACAAAGGAGAGAAATTAATATATTTTTGTGACTGCTCTGATTTTCATATGACTTGGTAATTACTTGTTCCTGCATGTGTTAGAGGTGTGACTTTGTTCTACATAATTTCCCGCAGGTGTTTCTGTTGTTTCACTTCAGTGAAGCAGTGAATGTGGTTTGACTGGGAGTCAACTGGCAAAACAACTTTATCGAATCAATCACACAGCTGGCAAAACTTTGAACACAGTTCATCTGCTTAGGCACATCTTGCAAATCTGAACCACCCATTTTGAAAAACTTTATAAACACATTTTCATTCACTAAACACAATGAGCAGTGTGGTGCACTTTGACCAAGTTGAAAATATATATTCATAAAGTTAACATCCCATCACAATAAGTAATATTTTGAAAATACAACAGGAGCAGAATCTTTTAAGACAACCCAGTAGAAGACCCTTGATGATTTTATACTAGGCCATTTCTTAATGACAATGCTTTAATATTATACATTTTAATGATCATTAATATTACAAAATGGTAGAAGATTCATCTGTTAGCAGTGGGTCAAGACCTGAAGCTCTGAAACGCAATACTGTCTCCAAACATCTGATCGCAATCTCGTCAACCTCAACATCAAACTTATTTGCAAGAAGGTGTTTTTGACTCAGCAGCCACTGGAGGTCACCAGCTCCYTACACACAAACGGAGCGTCTGTAAACACCAGTGCAATGAGGATACGGAGCTCCATTTTTTACATCACCTGCCAAATAGCCCCACTTCACCACACGAGCGAAGGCCTGCATGTCTGTTACATCATACTTGTTGTTGGCAGGCGTTGATCCGGGTACAGAGGGCATCCTCTGTAGAGTGGCCCACAAGTGCTCGTCAGGGCTGTATGTGTCCTTCACCCACTCCAGGAGTTTCTGAACCTCTGTGTCCTGCATCACATGTGTCACAAAGGCTCTTGAGACCACAACATAGGCATTCCCTGTGAACATCGGGCTGCTAATCGGTGGAGGACTTTTCATCACATCTGTCCTGATGACACCGTCTGCAACATTGTGATGATACTGCCAACGGCCTTTCTTGTAGTCATTGGCCGCCTCAGTCTCCATACTGTTTCTTCCATTTAGAATCTTGAGTACTTTAACCATCTCTCCATTGGTTTTTATCGGGAAGTCGGTCCCACATGTGTTGAGCAGGTACCTCCACTTTACGGGTGACTTCAACAGATCTGTCATGCAGTTCAGATCTGCCTGCACACGGGACCATGAGGCATAAATCACACTCTCTGATTTACTAGCTATAAACACATTGGGGAAACAGGCAACAATAGCCTGCACGGCCTCCCGGAAATCTTTGGAGGACTTTTGGTCCACGTGCACACAGTAGATGTTCTGAGGTGCATAAAGTGCTCGAAGAAGTCGCTCAAACATTTCAATTTTCTCATGGATCACCATGGAGTAGGCAATGGGAAAATCATTCTCCTCTTCACTGAAAGGCACTGTAATGAAACCTCTCTTTTTTTTGTAAGCTGGACAGTCCTTTGTCACATTAAGGTAGAAATCCGCAGACAACAGGTTGTGCTTCGTCCTAGATGCCAAAAGCTCTTTTAATTTTCTCCTCTTCCCCTCTGTGTCTCCACTGATGATGGCTAAGCAGACGGGCAGGTCCGTATAGAACTGCTGTGGTATTACAAGATCAGCCGATGACCACCTGCCAGAGCCAGCTTCCCAAAAGACAAATGAAAGGAACATACCCATAAAGATGAGACAAAGGTTCCTTAACATAAGGCCCATGTGACGCGTCAACCTTAAAGAAGCCATCTCCTTAGATCACAGCTGATGCTGTCTTCACTGCAGGTTATTGACCGAACAAATGACACTGGCTTGTAAGAGGAATGACAGCAAACACTGCCAAGTCCTGTTTACTCTAGGTGTGTCAATTAAAGTTGTCAAAGGAATACAGCTATGATGATMTGATYAGGTTTTGTTMCAAGTTCTCTTTGTTRTCTCTCCACCTTCCTTTTCTGATCCTTATCCTGCATGGCATGTGTGTGGCAGGGGGCGTGGCTGGCTTATCGTTCTCTGCAGAAGACAAGGCACACATGCTCTTGCTCAACTCATCAACCTCCCAATGAAATTATGGTCTTGACTCTCCTGCTCTGCCAGATAATCCCATTTAGTTCCTTAGTTGCTTTACCTGTTAAATACTGGTTTTCAGTCAAAAGCCAGCCAGCTCTCTGCCTCCACTCCCTGCCCCTTGTTTCTTCTTTTTGAGCAATAAACTCTTATATTTATCCACACCTGTATTAAGTCTCTGCTTTGGGGTCCGAGCTAAATCAGAACATCACAATAGCAACAAGTCAAGTTTAACTGAGCGCATTAGTTGGACTTTATTTCATTTATATTTGTATGTACAAGTCGTACAGATTTTAGTTGTTTAAGTTACATCATCCGTCCACTGTTTCACAAATAAATATCAAAGTAAAAAAGGAAGCCATGTACACACATACTGTATACACAAATATATGTATTTATATCTCTTTTCCTCAGTCACAAATGCCTCATCTAAGAATGTGTATAATAAAGACCCAGGCACTTTGTAGGATGAACACCAGAATAACAGAAGAAACATACCACCACATTCTCATCTAAGGATTAACTAACTATTTTCAATTCACCTGTCAATGTTTGTATTTGTGTGCTTCACAATACATTCCTCACTTACTGTCAGTTCCAGTTTGGATGTATTTAAGATTGGTTGAGACAAGTGCTCTCATCCACATCCTGGTCTGCATCAGTGTCCTGCTCATGGATGAAGCTGTAGCGTCGATAGACTGATCCACCTCTGCTGGTGTACACCACGTCTACCTCATCACCACTGTCTGGCTCAGGTACACCGTGGGGCATGTTGACACTGGCAGTGCCGCTCAGTCTTTCGTAGCTCTGGCCCCAGCAAAGCCTTTTCCAAGAGTGAGCTCTGACCAGGGCAAAAACGGCCAGAGCCAACGCCAGAGCCAGCAACAGGGAAATAGGTAAGGCGACTGAGGTGTGATTCAGAGGTCTGGAGGACATATTCACACCTGCTCTCTGGTCATCTCCTGACTTGGGTTGGGGGGCCTCCACACACAGAGCTAGAAAGAAAAAACAGCTTAAGCAAATTGTATCCAAAGAATCCTGTGTTTCTTATGATGGGCAGAACTCTACCTGAGCGACTGTCACAAACACAGCAATCAGTGTCATTCCCTCCAGCCTGACAGCAGCGGGCACAGCGGCTCTCCACAGCGTGAAGAGCAGAATCACGGTGACAAGTCAGACACTGGTCTGTTCCGGGGCCAGTACAATGCCAACATGAGCTGTCACATGGCTCACAGGTTTCCTGGATTGAAAAAGAGCATTGGGTTAGATATTAGTCAGGCACTGACTGCACCTGAAAGATTTGATATCTGATCTTAAGTATTTCTCAATGGCATCAAATATTCATTATAAGCTGAAAAACAACCAGGGATAGCCAGTTTTTGTTTGTTTTAGCATTTACTCTTTTTTCCATGGTGAAATTAATGCATGTTATTTTGCGATTTGGTTTGATTAGAGGGAAACACACAGATTTTGTTATAATAATTATAATAAACAATATATGGTACATGACTCGTAGCTCAGACTGCACCTCATCTGAAAAGTATCGTCCCTCCTCACAACGTGGATAGCAGACTTTATCCTTAAGAGTGCTGCCCCAGTCACACGTCAGGCAGCTCTGAGGTGAGGCATCTGCAAATACACATATACAGTAAGTATTGAGTGTCAACTTATGTAAATTGTAACACAAATTGCTCTTGTTGACAAATTGCTCTTGTTGACAAATTTCTCTTGTTGACAAATTTCTACTTGGCCAGGTCTAAATATCCTTTATATGTACCCATGCAGGTCTGACAGCTCATGTGGCACTGTTTGCACATGTCATGGAGCTGATAGAAGTGGTGAGGGCAGCTCTCAACACAGAGCTTGGTGCCTTGCAGCTCCAGGAGAGGAGGTGGACATGCTCTGCAGGAATTGGGCCCTGGTCCTGTACACAGCTCACAGGACTGGTCGCATTTCTCACAGTGGGATCCGTCTTTGTAATACCTGAACAAATGCATCAATTTCTGAGTATTAACACGTCAGACACATACAACATTTTTTTAATTCTTGTAGATTTAATGTGATTTATAAGGTGAACTGAAAATTGTAAAAAAAACTCCATTTCACCCTATAAATAAAAAAAAGCACAATACAACAAAATAAATAGAACTTGAAAAAAAAGGGAATATTATCTTCTGAAAAAACATAAATACATGTCTTTTTGGAATCGTTTATTATGTAAAATTGTCTATCGATCTATCAACCAACCATAAATCTGTCACCTCTGATATTAATGCCAAAACTAGATCATGCCACAATAGTTCCAGAAAACATTTCTCTGCTGCTGAGAAAAATTATGGAGAAGCAGAGAAGTTGGTTTTGATTCAGTGAATGGGGTGTGAAAACCATTTATAAGGGGAATGGGTAATTGTTAATCATAAAAGTCATCACCCTGTGGGACAATGAGTGACACAGAGATGAAGGAGCCGCAGGTGTCCCGGAGAACAAGTTACACAATCTCTGGCTGATGCCCCAGTGCAGGTGGAACAAACATGTTCACAAGGCAAACAGAATCCAAGCTCCTGTCCATCAGCTTCCTGCCTTGTGTTGTATGAACCAGCCGGACACTCGCTCACACAGGTCCTGTCTGGAAAGCAGCACACAGATACAGAACCCATCATTCTCAAAAAAGCCATCATTCTCAAAAAAGCCATCATTCATTAGCCAGTTCTCAAGGTCCATCAACTGCAAACACAAGTCTGAAAAATCTACAGTGGATTCCGAGAGGAATCAGATTTTCACATGTTGCAGCCCTGTGATAAAATAAAAATGATGTTTTCAAATACAAGGAAATATTCCATATTCCGTCTCAAATACCATACATACATCGAGATAATTATAAGACTGTTATCATAGTATGGAGATCTGCAAAGCTCACTGTGTAGGTATTTGGGGACGAGACATGTCTGGCATTCATAGTTGTCTGGCCCTGCACAAGAGTAGCAGTGTTGGTGGCAACCCATGCAGGTGAACTGGTTATCATGCAGGTAGGTCCCTGGTGGGCAGTCTGTGTCGCCTGTCACGCCACACAACAGTGTGTTTGGATCCAACACAAGTCCCTTCTCGCACTGCGTGCACTGGTTTGCATCTGGGCCGGAGCAGCTCATACAAGTCTGGTGGCATTCTGCACGTAATCAAAAGATATGTGTGAGTGAGCACGGCCATGTTTTAATGGTTCAGTGTGTAAGATTTATGTTACAGGGATCAATCGGCAGAAATTGATTATAAAAATAATCCTAGCAATGTTTTCACTTGTTTGTTTTATCAAAATTATAGAAATTGTTGTTTGGGCCTTTATATTTAAATACTGTATATTAACATCTGGAGCAGGTCTTCTCTGGCCGCCATGTTTTTTACAGTAGCCCAGACTGGACAAACTAAACACTTTTTGAGTGTCTATGACAACTAAAGGCTGCCACAGGTTCTCTTGAGTGTTTGGAGGGGGAGGGTGAGGTGAGGGGTGTTCAGCTGCAACATGCAACTTCACTACTAGATATCACAAAATTCTACACACTGAACCTTTAAAGGTAGATAGTGATCATTTTAAACACACAGAAGTGACACTGTTGTGGCTCACCTTGACATTCCAAAGCTTCAGTTTCATAGTAAGTACCAGTGAGGCAGACCTTGGAGCAAGCACCCTTGTAGAGTTTTGGGCTAAATGTTGAGCAGGTCTCACAGTCATCTGCCAAGGGCCCTGAACAGCTGGCACAGGTAGGATGGCACTGACCGCACCGGCCCTCCTCCATATCCTCATAGTAGCCCATGGGACAACTAGCTTTACACACACCATTCAGCATCAAGTAGAGGAAACTGCATTCTAAAATGATATGGAGGACAGGTAACAAGAGATTTGAGGATTTGATCCGAATATATTTTAAAATTAAGGATAATTAAGGATATTTTAAGATGACAACTCACTGAAACAGGTTCTGTCATCTGAGCAAACGTCACAGTGCGGTGGACAGCGTCTGCATGTTCCATCATCCGCAGGGTACGTCCGCAGTGAGCAGTTAAGTCTACACATACCGCTGCCTAAGTAGTAGCCATCAGCACAGGACAGACACTGTGACTTGATCCCATCACATGTCAGACAGGAGCTGTCACAGGCTTCACATGAACCCTCAGCTGTCCCAAAGAAACCTCTGCAAGTGACGGCAAGATACAGTTTACAAGAAATAAAGAGACAACTACAGTAAAAAGTACCATCATTACAAAACATCATTACAACAGCTTACTCTGGGCAATTAGACCAGCAGCGACCCTGGTGGAGAAAAAGTCTATAGCTGCCTTTGGCGCAGCTGACGCAGTTATCACTGGTGCCTATACAGGCCTCACAGTTTGGCGAGCAGTCCTGACACAGCTGAGATGCTGAGTTTGCATAGGAGCCAGATGGACACTGCGTAACACAAAAACTGTCCTGGTCCAAGAAATACCCTGTGACACACACACACAAACACACACACACACACACACACACACACACACACACACACACACACACACACAATGCCCAATAAGACCTGGAATAATGATTAAACCAAATGTCATGACCGACAAGAGTAAATATTTGTACCTTTGAAACAAGAAGAACAATCCTGTGCTTGAGGACCAAAGCAGATCTTACAGGATGCATCACACGTGTGACATTCACTATTTTCCCCTGAAAGTGAAATAATAAAGACAGTATCCATCATGCATTTAATACATCTGCAACTCTGCGTGGGGTTTTGTAGTTTCTCAAGTAACAATGGGCCTCATTCATCAACTGATGCAGTTATGCAGTTTTACGAGGATTCTGAAGTCACCAGTGTTTTCTTAGGTAAGAAGCATAATTCTGCACTTGACTACTGACTGCATCATTTTGCAAAATAATTATTGTTTTCTGTAATTCTACAGTTGTATAATATGGGTTTTTTAAATTACCATAATATTTCATCGTTTTTAAAATGTTGTTAGAGTGAGGTTTTTTATTTACTTATGAAGAGATCATTTAAGCTTTTCTTCTTTTGTGTTTCATTGCACTGTTCCTTGCCACCTCCTGTCCATAGTTGCCAATGACCTTTTAAATTATATTATGAGATTTTAATATCTTATCTTAATTAGGTTTAAGATTAAGATACTTAGTATGTTTTAATGATTAACTTTTCATTTATTAATTTTTTTGCCTGATGAATGTGAATACTGCTGCTGACTGTACAACAAATTGCTCCTAGAGACTTCCTTGATCTTACAATTCTGATGATTTTATGACATATTGTTTGCTGTCATAACAGCTGCCTAGTGAAGCACTTTCTAATTGAAATTTTGAATTTTGATAGTGCTCCATAAATTGATTAATTAATAATAAATATAAGGACCCTGTATGATTGGACTATACTGATGATTTCTTAACACAGACGTCAAATTCTATGATAAGGTGACATTCCTAACCAGCTTTGTCCCTGGTTTGTCTTTGTTCCTTTGTTTGTCGATGTGTGTTTGTCGATGTGTGTTTGTCTGGCTGGGTGTGTCTATATGACTATAGGTTTATTTGAACTTTTACAGTTTTGGCATTTGCATTATTCCTCACCCAGCACCTGACTGTCTATATTGTGTCTCTGTTTTCTTTAATCTTCTGCCTCAGCCTGCATTGCTCCTCCGTCAGCTCCGGCTCAACTTCCTGTACTCCAAGTTTACACTAAACCAGCCTCTCAACTGCTGGAGATAACTTGTCTGAGTGCTTTTGATTCAAAAGTGAAGATTTGTCATTACACCAAAGGGGTAAACAGGTGCTCAAGTCAGAGAAGCCTTTAGAAAGTGCTCCAAAAAAACGACTCTTGAATGGAAGGTGACGCAGTACAGTGGAAGGGTGACATATAGAGTAGTAGATTGTCCTTCAACCTATAGGTCCTAAAAACTATTGTCCAGATAGACACAACAAAAGAAACGCAACAGATTGCATCAATCTTTTTTGAGTTAGGAAAACTTATAAAGAAATTACCTTTAACCAACAATCAACATTGAGTTAGGGGAATTATCTTTTCCTCTGCAATCAAAGGTATTTTTAACTATACTTACTTAAGAATTGTGACAGTAAAAACATATTTTTAAGTGGATTACTCTTTAAAATTAAGTTGTTTAAACTACTTTTTTCACATTATTGAAAAGGAATTTCAAAGGTTTTGTTCTTAATTTGAATAATCATGAACACAAGTTTTTAAGCTGAAGCAAGTCAGTAAGTATCATTTGTAATGGAAATTTCTATCTATCCTTTGAATTCTTCCTGTGATTTCTATGACCCTCTGAGTTGCTGTGGCCAAACATAAATGCAATGAAACATATCTTTTTAAATTTCTTAAAAAATAGAATATTAAAAAATTCAAACCCCAGAGATGCTGGCCATCCAGAGAGTTTGGATTTGTACAAGAACTGCAGGCAGAAAATGTTCCATGCAAAGGCACTATATGTTTCAAATCAAGCATGATCTTCAATGAAGAGTCTAAGAAAGATGTGGAACCACTTGTTCTGTGTCACCTGTTCTGATCTGTCTTTTTCCCTCTGGTTTTGGATTTGGGTTCTGTTTGGTTATTCTACACTGAGTTCTCTGTTTCCTGTTTAATTTTGAAAAGTTGTTTCTTGTGTGTCTCTAACTTTATTTCTTGCCTTTGTCCCGTTTCCTCGCCCTTATGATTGTCTGCCCCTGTTCCTGATGTGTTTCACCTGTGTTCAATTCTCCCTGCCTCCCTTGTGTATGCAAGTCTCCATTTGTCAGCTTCCTGTGAGTTTCTCTGCATGTTGATTACTGGACTTATTTTGTACATTGCTTGTTGGAGCTGCATTCCTGTAGATCTTACTCAGCCTTAATAAAAAGACATTTTTGTTTTTTGACTTGAGCTTGTCTCCTGCTCTCCACTCAGTGTGGTGACAAATGCCACATGAAGAACTGGGGCCGTAATACGAAGCAAGTTCAACATACCCAGGATATCTTTCTGATATCCGGTTGAACTTAAGCCAACAATCACAATCAGGGTAAGCAGTCACATGAAGGTGGTTATCATTTCGGTAAGTCAACTGTTTAGGGAGAGTGTGCACCGCGCTACAGTGTAGTGTCATTTGGTGAGGGCTGTTCAAGTCTCAGTGAGGGAAGCTGTCAAAAAGTAAATCTGTAAAATATCTATCCCCTATTCCAAATACATATTACATTTCATAGGATAAACCTACTTAAAGGGAAGAATAAAAGTATAAAACTATGTCTGGTTATCCTGCTGCTAACACACCCAGTAAATCAATATCAGTAACTCCCACAAGTAAAGAAACGTCGATCAATGTGTTCAGTGTTACTGTGAGCACATTGCTCTTAGTGTCAGGTTGGTTATATTCAGCTCCAGCAGTTAACAGAGGTTTATCGTTCCCTCCTATGAGAATCTATATCTTTAATAAAGTTACTCATTGGAGTTGGCAAAAATAATTGAGTCGGTTTCTGAAGATGCTTGTCGTCCACATCCAGTTCCACAGGATCCTCATCATTTTTTTTTTTGCTCCACGGGATCCTTTAAGAACGTTGCTGTTGTGTTTCAGTGGAATTGATTGATGATTGGGCTGTGCTTTTATACTGCTTGATCTCTCATCTCCAACTTGACCTGCTCCGGAGTGTAGGCCACTCACAAGCCTGTACATTTTATAAAAACTGTTTTTTTTTAGATAATTCAACAAAAGCTTAAAAAGGTTGTTCCTCATACCGTCAAAGTACTGTCCCAATGGGCAGTTAACCAGAGGGCACTGCCCGTGCAGAGAAGGGTTCCCACCAATACATAGCTCACAGTCTGTTGATCGGGGTCCATAGCATGTCTGGCATGAGCTTTGGCAAGGCTGACAGCGCCACCCACTGGAGTCACTGAAGGTTTGCTGTGGACACTGTTTGATGCACTCACCTCCTGACAGGGCAGAGCAGTACACAGAGTAAATTATTTTCCTTGTACAAATTGATTCATCAAATAGTATTCTTGGAAAACCCAGCAGACACTATATGGA